TTTATTGTGTGTGTGTGTGTGTGTGTGTGTGTGTGTGTGTGTGTGTGTTGTATGTAAAAGATATTTTATAAACAAATTAAAATTAATTATGTGTATGGTTTTAATATAAATAATTTAATTAATCTGTATTTACAAATCATTGTGTACTCCAAACTACAAAATCTTTTTCTTGAGATAATTATAAATACGTATTCTAATAATTTTTTGAAGATTTAAAAACTGTTTTTTTTTAACAAAAAATATTTTTTACTTACTGGTAAACAATCATGCCCCAGTTTTCAGTGGCTCTGCTTGAATAATGTGGAATGCTAACATGATCCATTTTCGGCACATGAACGGTACTATTGGTGAATTTTTCAAGTTCTTGCGTTGCTTTCTCAATAATATCGAGAGAAAATGTTGCATGAGGAAGAAGGTGTTTTGGACCCCATATTTTGATAGTACCATCTAAGTTCGAGATGTGATCATAATCGGAAATCACGAATCCTAATAAGTTGGTAGACATAATAGGAGTTGTCTCGAAATATGTCCATAATTTTCCATCGCTTGCATCGACTTCCGGTCGCGTGGATGGCATATTCGATAATGCTGTATAATTAGGATAATGCTTTATAGAAAATTTAAAGGTCGCTTTTATAGCGGGTTCATCCCAACACGGAAACACTTGTCGCGCAAAGGTTGGTTGCAAATGTGTCAGTGCTAACAATCTGTAAAGTCATTATAGTTTATTTCAATTTATATATATGAGGTCTCTCTGTGTCTTGGCGTCAAAATTATTATGCAATTTATCGTGAGAAAGCAACAAAAGTTGTATAAACGTGATTCAGGAAGTAAGCGGGATAATTAAATATTATTGAAAATGATCAACGCTAAAATATTCAATCAATTCTTTTGTTTAATGTTTTTCTATATAATAATTTTAATTTTTCTCTGTTCTTCATTGTATGCTAATATATAATAATAAAGATCATCATGTTGAATTTTAATTATTAAATATTTTTAAATATGAAAGGAAATTGATAAACTGGAAAAAAATTTTTATTAAATTAATTTTGATTGGCAAATATTTCTTATTTTAATCGAAAATATATGTTGCTTTATATTGATGTTATTTATAATTAAATATAAATCAATTTTTAGAATAATTACTTACACATCGTTTCCTTTATTATCAGTATAGAAATCTTTGTAAAATCCACGCATCCAATTATTCAACAATATTATGCCATCAAAATTAATACGCAGCATATACATTTCAGAATCCAGCGGTTCTTCGAATTGGAGAGTCAAAATTTGCGTTAGTTCGTCATACTTATGTTGCTTTGGAATATATTTCGATTTGGAATTTACATTATTTACACCTTTGCGAGTTATCTCCGTCAATGATTCATGTATTGTGAGATTTAAAGCGTGCAGTGCGATTGTGTTTGTCGGTTCGTGCACTTTGATGTCGATATTTACTTCGCCATTAGTGGTAAAATTATCTTCAAAATGAGTTATTAATTTTATGTCGTAATGAATAGGTATGATGTTCTTTGGTAGACGAAATTCAAGTCCCTCTGAATTTTCTACTACTTCGTCATCTTGAAGAGGAACACAGTTGCCAATGGCAAATATTAAGATTAGTATCAACAGATTCTTTATGGCTGCCATAATACTTATGCAATGATGTGTGCTTCCTTTAACTAGACTGACAAAACGATCGTTTCTTTGCATACTTATAATCCTTGAAACATTATAAAAATATAGTTATACATATATCGATATGCTTAGTTATAAGAAAATATCTTCAAAAAATATTATCGCTTGACCATGTTATTACAGTTTCATAGGTCATCAACATTGCCGGTTTAACTATCTTTTAGAATATTTTCCATCCATCCATCTTTCAAGATAGTAAGAAAAATATATCTAATAAACATAAGTAGTAATTTAAAAAGACAGTGATTAAAATAAATTATTTAAAATTAATAGGATAAAAAATACTAATTTAAAAAAAGCAGATAATTAATTTGATAGTAATCTTACATGAGAAAATTATTTTTTAAAGAACATTTTTGTTTAAAATTATTTAATTAATGATCATTACTTGTTAATAAAATATTAATATTGTTGAAATCATAATATTGTTGAATATTGTATAACAATTTAAAGTAGCTATTCTTTTGTTTATTGAAAATTGATGTAGTGCAAATAAAATATAAATTTTTTTTTAATTTTGTTAAAAATATGCATTTATTATACCAAGTATTACCATTGTAATTTAAAATGTTATTTAAAATAATAATATAGAGAGAAGTTTAAAGTAAAGTTTTCAGTTAATTTAATTTTGAGAAATCAACATTTTTAAATAAACAAAAATATTTCTTCTTAAAGTAAAATTATTAATCAATATTTTCACAGAAAAAAATCATATCTAGATAAAGCTTACATTAACGCTTTGATAAATTTCTATGAATTATATATCTTCATTATATTATCTTCCTCTTGCTTTTATCTTTAAATTAATTTTTATAACTGCAATATAACTACAATATTCTATATGCGTTTAAAAAAATTCATTTATGTATATAAAATATTAATATTATATACTGAATTATATACATTTATTTAATGTATACAATTTTTATTTAATTAAATAGCTGGAAAGAGTCTTATTTCCTATATAATTCTTAATTAATATTTTTCTTTTGTTATTAATTTCTATGTATTTTACTATTATTTATTTTAATATTATTTCAACAATTTAACATATTATTTCATCATTATTTCATCATATTATTTCATTTTTAATTGTAAGTAACAATAATTTTTCTATCGAATCTCAATATAAGACTGTATACTGTGATAATCTCTGCCCTCTATTATATAATGTATGTATATGTAGAGTTACATTTAACATGAATAATTACTCATAATGCTTTCTACTATATTTAGTACTACGATAAAACACAGTATCTTTTTTGAGATAACAATGAATGAACTTAATAAAAAAACATAAACTTGACGTGTACTTAGTTGTGACTTTATGATTTTTCTTTTTCAAAGTAAAAAAATAAACATAAATAAAATAAATAGAATTTAAATGTATAAATTCTATTTCATTCAAATTCAGTCAAATTTAATAGAATATTATACATTGCAAGTTACGCTTATTTCATGAAAATAAATTAAGAATATGTATATGCAATTTAAAGATATTGAGCATTGAAATGGATGCGTACTTCTGATAATTTCAATCTATTTTAATCCATTTTCATTTACTGGGTAGGTTTGTAAAAGTTAAGACATATTTACATCAATCAAAAAATCGAGAATATAGTCCAGTAAATGGATTAAAATTTTTAAAAATATGCGTGAACGTTAAAATCTATATATATATATATATATATATATATATATA